GTATGAGTTTTGAGAGGATGCCAAATTCAGACATGGCGGCGTATAGGCAACTCCTTTTAGTGCGGCTTTAAAGTCGACAAATAGGTGGTGAGTGTCGATCCTTTTCTCGCGGGTATTTTCCAAGATTTGGCGTATTGTGAATACCTGGTTTATGGTGGATTTGCCAGGTCTAAAGCCTAAGGACCGATCAGTTCATTGACGGTGGGCTTCAGTCTTTCACACAATACGCTCGATAAGACCTTGTAACCTATGCTTAGAAGGCTGATCCGGCGGTAGTTGGCGCGAATGGCGAGGTCACCATTCTTGTGGATTGAGAAGAGCACACTTAAATTCCGGTCGTCGGGCATGCGTTCATCTGACCATATTCTGCATAAGAGTTGGTGCATGCACCTTATCAACTCCTCGACGCCGTACTTGAATAGCTCAGCTGGCAGGCTGTCAGCTCCAGCAGCTTTGTTGGTTTTCAGCCGCGTTATTGCTATTCGTACCTCGTCATAATGTGGCGTGGAGCGTCGACTCCGTCATCATCGACTGGGGCTCGGGTTCTTCTTCTCCACAACTTTCCGTGCTGCTACCATTTAGTAGGGCGGAAAAGTGTTCCCACCATAGTTTAAGTAAGCTCTGGACATCAGTTACTAGGTCGCCATTATTGTTCTTACAGGAGTGCGCCCCGGTCTTTAAACCTTCCGTAAGTCGCCTAACTCTCTGGTAAAATTTTCTGGCATTCCTCCTGTCGGCCAGCATTTCAAGCTCTTCGCACTCACGTATTTCGGCCTCTCTCTTCTTGTTGCGGCAAATACGTCTCGCTTCCCTCTTCAGATCCCTATAGCGGTCCCACATAGCGCGCGTTGCGCCCGATCGCAGCGTGGCCCTGTAGGCGGCATCTTTTTCCTCTGCAGCTTCCTGACACTCCTCATCGTACCAGTTGTTCTTTCGGGCTCGCTGAAATCCGACTACTTCTTCGGCGGCGGTACTTAATGAGCGGGAAATGTAGTTCCACTGCTCGCATATGTCGGTTTGTTGAAGAGTGGTCTCTGAGAGCAGGTGTGAGAGTCGAGTAGCGAAAGCGCTGGCTGTCTGTTGTGATTGCAGCTTTTCGACGTTAAGCTTTCCTTGCATATTTGGGCGCACATTTTTTGCTGCACAGAGGCGGGTGCGTATCTTGGCTGCAACAAGATAGTGGTCCGAGTCGATGTTTGGGCCTCGGAGTGTGCGTACGTCTAAAACACTGGAAGCGTGCCTTCCGTCTATCACCACGTGATCGATTTGGTTTCTCGTTTTTCGATCCGGAGACAGCCACGTAGCTTGATGGATCTTTTTATGCTTGAACCTAGTACTGCATACTACCATGTTTCGGGCCCCGCCGAAGTCGATCAGCCTCAATCCGTTGTCAGACGTTTCGTCGTGGAGGCTGAATTTTCCGACGGTGGTTCCAAAGATCCCTTCCTTGCCCACCCTGGCATTGAAGTCGCCAAGCACGATTTTGATATCATGACGGGGGCAGCGCTCGTACGTGCGCTCCAAGCGCTCATAGAAGAGATCCTTGGATGCCTCATCCTTCTCTTCCATCGGGGCATGGGCGCAGATGAGCGAGATGTTGAAGAATCTCGCTTTGATGCGGATTGTGGCTAGACGCTCGTCCACCGGGGTGAACGACAGTACTCGGCGACGGAGTCTCTCTCCCACCACAAATCCAACACCGAATTTGCGCTCCTTTACATGGCAGCTGTAGTAGACGTCGCAAGACCACAGACATTGTATGCCTTGCCCCGTCCAACGCATTTCTTGGATGGCGGTGATGTCAGCTTTTGTCCTTACGAAGACATCAACCAGCCGGGCAGAGGCACCTTCCCCATTAAGGGGGGGAGTCCGGACATTCCAGGTGCATGCCCTCAAATCGTAGTCCTTTAAACGTTTGCCGTGGTCGTCATCATAAGGGGGGGGTCTCATCAGAGGCTTTGCCTTGCTTCTTCACTGGAAGTGGTTTTTACGTGGCGGGTCCCAAGCCCAGCGCACAACCCATTGCTGGGACGGGGGTGGTTTCGCAACCAAATATACGTTTATATAGCGAGCCGCTTGCTCCAAGCAGACACCCGCTTGCAGCCGCACCTACTGGTGAACAGACGCTGCAGACTTCAGTGAGCCCTTAAACCGAATAAGTCGGAGTGGCCCCACCGAAGCTCCCTCTCTTTCTGCCGTGACCCAAGGCTCCACTCGGATTGGTTACCGCATCTCGCACATGGGTTGCTCACGTTGCCCAGAGTGCGCGAACGAGGACGCAAGAGTCGGGATTGAGTATAGCCATGCAACTGTAACTGCATACCCAGCGCAACGACTATACCCCATTGCACTCCATCGCTTCTTAAAAAAAGAAACCGCTTATACCACATTTATATACATATATACGTACATAAATACATATCGCTAGCTTAGAGTGAAAAGTTCCTAAGTGCACTTTTTATGAAAACTCATATTTTGATATAGGAAGCAAGGGATATTAAAATACACCCTTTCAAATACTTGTTTTATTTTTTGTCGTTTATATTCAAAGAAAAGCAAATTTTTTAAGTTCAAAATGGCACCGAAAATTCGACAAAACCAAAAATATGCGAAATCTTTTAATAATCGAATATTTCTTATTCGTATGGAATTTTGCTTTGCTTTAAACACACAAAATATTGTATTCAAAGATTTGCGAAAAGCTTTAGGGAAATGGCTATAAGAAGTTTTCCCCTCCTGTAAAATTAAAAAAAAAGGACTTGGCAAGTTTGCTTCTAACCTAGCGACATACATATATGTATGTGTACAATGTACATATGTACACATGTATTAATATATTAATGAGTGTGCATTAGGGTGGTCCAAAAATACATGCGGGGGGATTTTTCTAAATGAAAAAATACCCGCATTTTTTGTAAAAAAATTATATTGAGAACTGCCTCAAAGCCCATGAAGTTTTCCATGTAGTTTGTATGGGAAAAACACTTTTTCAATATTTATTATCGGAAAACTCTGACTCTCTTTAGGAGACTTCCAATAACAATACCCAATTTGAATTTTACTTAACGGTTTTTTTATATTAAATATTTTTTAAACCCCACAAGAAATCCATACAAAATTTTTAGTATTAAAAAATGGTTAAATAAACAATTCGGTATTATTATTGGAAGCCTCCTGAAGAGAAACAGAACCGATCCATAAAAATATTGATTCTTAAGAATTCTATGTATGCACCATTTCTATGAAAAAGTTTTTCCCCCATATAAAATATGTACATGGAAAACTTCATGGGCTTTGAGGCAGTTCTAAATATCTTTTTAAAAAAAACATACGGGTAATTTTTATTCTATTTAGAAAAATCGTAGGGGTTAGAGCTTAACATTTTAGACTTTTTTCCCCCGCATGTACTTTTGAACCAGCCTAATGCGCACTCAATATATTAATACATAAGTACATAGATTGTACACATATATGCATATATTTATTTATGTATAAATATACATACATCGACGCAGAAACATGCTGATGGTGCAACTTGCAATTTTTTCGCAATGATTGCATTTTCCCCTTCTGATTGAATGATTCGATTACATTTTGGAACTTTCCTTCTATGTAAGAAGTTTAATAAAAAGCCGATTATTTTACACTTTAGAATTTAAAATAAGAATTTATCCGTACTTATGTATGCACCTATCCATTTGCATAGTAACAATACATAACAAATATATGTATGAAATAGATTGCTTACTGCTTAATCTTTTTAGTATACATATCTACGCACGAACTTTTTAAAACGCTTTATATATGTATATACCTACATATGTATGTATCTTTATATTAGGAAGGTACCAGGGATGTTGCGAATATTTGCATTCGCATTCGTTATGCGAATGGATCGCATCATTTTACACATTCGCATTCGACATTCGCATCAAATGACACGAATGTTTTGCGAATGCGAATGTGTACATGGGCAGAGAGTCCATTCTAATATTATTGAAATGGCTCTAGGTCTGTCTAACCGGATTTAGCTTCAGGCGCTAAACGGTTAAGTAGTATATCAAGCAACATTGATGGGCCATCAACAAGTACCACTAAAAGTCTTATAAGCAACCTAGAAATAATTTTAGATTCCTCCAGCGAAAGCGAAAGCTCGGATGTAGTATCTGGAGACATTAAAAAATGTGAAATTAAAGCTCAATTGAAGGCTTATCTTAAAGAAAAACGAGCTCATCTCGATGGAAATCGTCTCGATTGGTGGAAAACTAAACTAAAATACGACAAATTGACAGATCTGGCCTGCAAGTATTTGACCGCTCCACCCGCCAGCGTTCCAAGTGAGCAATTGTTCAGTGCAGTCGGTCTTATATACGAGCCTCTAAAAATCGCCTCATGGGAGAAAAGGCAGCAAAATAACTTTTTTGAAATATAATATGCCCCTTTTGAACTTTGACTACTACATAGATTTAAACACTGTATAGGTTAAGCCCTCGCTAAATTTTCTAATAATTAACAAAATGTTTAAGTAATAAAAACGATTACTTAAGTTGATTATAGCTTTTTTTTATGGTATGCCTAACATTCGCATTCGCACATTCTTATTCCGAAAATTCGCATTCGCATTCGCGAATGTGGAAAATATGACATTCGAAACATCCCTAGTATGTACATATTAATGGATGTACATGAATATATATACATGTATTTCGTATTGCTTGCTGTTCAATAAGTTCTTCGAAAAATGTATTCTTTAGCTGCCTTCAAAATACAACACTGCATATGTTCACCTACACAACCGCACGCCATGACTCAAAGATACAAGCCACTAGCAGTTTACGAGTTTGGGAAAACACGTTCTGCTTGTGCTGTACAGTGTACACCTACATACATACATATGTATTTAAACTAAAGCAACAGTTGAATTGCCTTTGTGTGGGTTAGAACGACAAATGCTTGCATCGTTCACTTGTTTCATCAGCTATACTATACACACAAGCGCCATGTAGTTACCAATACATGGATGCGAAACCGAGCCAGAATGTCTGGCAAATGCTAGAGTAATTTTGCTGCTAATCGTTTAGTGTGGAAAGAAGAAACGGCGCAATCGAACGTGTATCATCGGAAGCCGCATGATTACATACGGAAATATATATATTTTTTTACACATAAAACTGCATAAGCTTTTCGAGCTGTATACTACATAAAAAATAATTCAATGTGAACATTCAAACGTTATTTTGGAATGAATAAACTGTTTGAAATATACTGTGTTTTTATATAATGATATCTAAGTCAAATAATACCCAAGTGCCAACAACAGCAATAAGTATTTTACAAAACACACACACAACATTCAATATGGCAAGTAATGGCGGTGCGAACAACCTCACAAACAACTCAAAAATGGGTTCTCGGCGAATATTTACACCACATTTTAAGCTACAGGTATTAGAATCATATCGAAAAGATAATGATTGCAAGGGCAATCAACGGGCAACGGCTAGAAAGTACAACATACATAGACGACAGATTCAGAAATGGTTGCAATGTGAATCAAATTTGCGATCATCGGTTGCCAGTATAAATCACAGTGGATTAAAACATCAGTTTCATAATGTGAGTCAGCAACAACAAGTGCCGATTATGATCCCAACGAATAATAATAGCCAGTTCGGCTACCATCACTTTGAAAGTAAACCTCAGCAACTGCCCTTGGACACAGCCAGACAAAGTGTCGCTACAAATTCTACAACAGTGCCATCAATACCAGTTGTGGTTCCACCATCAGCGAATGCATCAGCACAAGGAGTGTATGCAGCGGCGAACTTGGCCGCCGTTGTGGCTGCCGCTGCAGCTGCGGGAGCAGCGGGTGCTATGGCGATTGCCACCACTTCAACTACAAACACATCGTCACCACTCTGCCAGACTGTAGTAAGTGGCAACGCTGCGGGAATATCGTCACCAATTCTTCACTCGCATCACCTTCCGGCCCACCACCACCATCATCATCATTACGATGCGCCATATACACATGCATCAGCCAATATATCTATACCAATGCCTGTCCTAACACACCTTTCCCCGCAACATCATCGGCACTACCAATACCACAACCTGCCGCCGCATACCCATGCACTGCTACAAACACAATCTCGGGTGTCAACAGTACCGTCATTAATGTCGTCAACTTGTCTACCTGTGAATGTTTTGTCTGCATGCTCGTCGGAGGTTAACATAGCACCAGAGGAAATAGCGTACAAGGGAAACGAGGGAATCAATTCTAATGAATTGCGCGAACATGCAGCAAAAATGAAAATAGTGAATAATGTTGAAGATTGTTGTACCCGAATATCTTTAAATAAATATCTTCATAACGCATGCATTAAAAATGGAAATCAAAAGGAATATACCTTGCAAAACTATAACGTAACAACACAAGGATTATCAAACACCCCGTGCCTAACAGTTACACCCATAGATCTATCTATTGGTTCTCGGCGTGAGAATGCGGAGAATATAAATTGTAGCTTGAGACAGTTACCTAAAACTGATGATGTGGCCGAAAATAAAAACGAAAGTGTGGTTGATTTGACTTTTAGGAAGCGCAAGGTTATTTTGAGAAATGATCAAACAAGTAAACTCATGCGGAATTCAGAGAATGATTCTATTAATTCGTTTACAAGAGTTAAAGATTTAAGTGAAAGTGATGATGATCATATCGAAGTCGAAATAGATGTAAAATCACCACCTCCAAAGCCAGTAAAACTATTTAAACCATATCTTCTGGATGAAAAAGAGGAAAAACAGGAAGAAAATGAAAACGAGCCGATTACCGAAAAAAGATCTGCTAAACATGCCTTCGTTGACAGGCTTGACAATAAGGAGGGAAGCATACCGACGCGATTTAGTTTGGATAGTGATCGAAATACAACATTTCACCCCTCAAATGTGGCCGAACATAATTTTCAAATAGGAAGTGCGTACTTTCAGGAATGCAAGCCATTAAATCTTCCAAGTGCCTTTAATATGACAGCAATATCAGCTTTGTCTCCAGTGATCCCTTGTGCTGAAGGATCTCCCGTATCAGGATATGAGAGTTCATCGTCAACATATAGCGAGTCATCATACAAAGAGGAGTTTTACCGAATGAAAGAAGACCGAGCTTGCAGTATAGACTTTCAAGTACATGCAGTTTGCGATAACTTGACTTGCCAAGAGAATTGCGTTCAAAAATGGTTAAATCATGATGCCAACTCAAACCCACCGACAACTAATGCTTCCATTGTTTTATATGCTTAAAAATATTTAGATTATATGAAATGTAATTTTATTTATACACATACATATGTACATATGTATGTATATATATATGCAGTAATCTTCAAAGCGCTAAAATTCGGCGCCGCATTATTAAATTTTTAGAAATTTGACAAATGTGAATCGAATACCTTGGAGACTTAAAGAATACTGTATAACGTATTCTAAAATATTGGCAATAATTATTTAATATATGTATGTATGTATTTATAAAAAAATTTAACGTCGTAGGTATGACATATTTGTCCATTTAAATTTTGTAGTATCCACGGATGTAAATATACCCCTATTTAGTATAGAGAGGTTAGAAGTATAAGAAATAAACAAAAGTAATTTAAAATGCAATAACTTTGTTCGAAAGTCAATGTTTCATCATATCAAATTTAAATATATAAAGAACTAGAAGTTAAGTATGAATTTACATACGAAAGGTATAAAATAACTGATTTTATAGGGTCAATTAAGAAATGTGGCTTAAGAATAAAAGCTTTAAATAAAATCGAAATTTAAAAAGTAAAATTTGTGAAGAGTTTTATATTTATATAAGATTTTAAATTAATTGAAATGGTATTTCAAAATTTGTTTAGCTACAGTTGTAAAATAAGATGAGCTGCAATCAAATAAGTATAATAAAAGTACAAATACTTTGAAATCAAAAATGAGTTTCTAATCTACCACCAAAAATTAGACTGTATTGATAACAGATTTTTATTCCAGCGGAGTTCATATACATACAAACACGCAAATGTACATCAAAAAGCATGCAGATGAAATACCGTTGTCGAAGTATTATGAGCACATGGAAGCAAACTTACAAAATTGTTAATTTTGATTCGATATAAAATAGGCTGACTTCCAAAACGTCAATTGCATTGCATACGTACAAAGTATAACGTTCAATAACGCCGAACTACAAAATGTTGACGATGTATACTTTTCCAAAACGCATCCGAAAATTTATCGAAACGCATCGCTAGCGCAATCAGCGCATCAGAAACAAAGTTGATGCTTCGTTTGTTATTGGTTAGCATTGGTGTTTTAAAAATGGAAAATTCATAAAAATTTTTCATTGGCATACTGGGTATTTAACACTCACCCATAATATAGATAAAAATATATATAATTCAAAAGACCAAATATAAAACTAGAGGAGGGATACTGTTTTATTTAGTGTGAATAATCGCATACAAGTTTTTATCAGGCGCCTAACACAAAATTTAGTATTTCATGCAATATATACATATATGGTTATTAATTTTTTGCAATGTTTACATAGATTTTTTCCCAAGTTATCCATATTTGTCGAAATTTTGGGAAGGGCAGGCAATTGAAAAGCAGAGGCACCTCTCGACGTACAAAAATCACGCTCTACCAATCCCTCATAACGCCCGTCCTTTTATATAGCGCATAAACCGGGGCACGTAGAGAAATAACTGTATGAGCCTGACGCTACGTTGAAAATAAACTCCGACTCGGCCTCCTTGGGTGAGAGTAAAAGCAATGGCGTGAACGAACACTATAGAAGCATCAAAAGAAGAAGGACCTGTCTACACTTCCTATGATCAACTATAACAACATCGCTAAGAAAGAGACGCAGTCGACGAAGCTGTTTGGTATCGGCCAAAACAGAATAACATTTGAAGTTCCTTATATGAAACGAGACAAAAATACACCCCACTGATAAGGTGATCGGCTTGTGCTTACTCATTATCTCAAACTGTCAAGTCGTTTGGGTTTTTGCATCCTCTGTTGTTAGGACCTAATTAGTGTTCATATGATTATATTACCCGTGGTTGGCCAGAGTTATTCAAGGCCTCTTCTCGAACGAAGTGCTTCGCATACTGGGCGATATATCGAGCTATTAAGCTTTATCTGTTACAGCGGTTCTTTTCATGGGCGGGCGACCCCCTTTTCTACAACTCGAGGGAAGCGTTATAGATACAAAGGCAAAGCTTCAACTTCAACACCCCTAAAACCGGACTACAGAGTTCTAAAAAAAATGCCAATTTGATCCACAACCTTCGCCTCGATTAAAGCTTCGGCACCAACGAGGTTTCATACGGTGGGAAAAGTTACAAAGGAGGTACAAAGCAGATGCAAACCGCACCCACCACTGCAAATACTTCTTAGTAGGGGATGCCTGAGGCCTGTGGATGCACACTGGGTCTAAGGCAAGGTCTTGGACCTCACCAGAGCACACTCCTCTATATAGAAACCAAAAAGAAACTTCCGAAAATACGCTGCTATGAAACGCTCTTGAATATGTAAATTTTGGCGTTAACCGTTTTGACCGTTTACAGACGGTCATCAGAAAACACTGTAAATATATATATAATTTTTGTTTAATTCACGATAAAGCACTGAATTATGAAAATATATAATGTTTCCTACTTACTAAAAAATTTTCAAGTCTTTAGAAAAATAATTACTGAATAAATACCGGAACTACAAAATGTCTATTTATCACAGTAATTTATTTCACCTTTAACACTAACTCACAACTTTAACTGACCCGTGTACTCAAAATATAAAACACAAAGAGCATATTAGTTTGAATTCACAAAGCACATAACCACTAAAACCCGTTGTTATGTTTTTTAATATTGCTATCTAATTTTAGTAACATTTATTAGCAAATGTATATGGTTGCAATGTGTCGCAACTCTGCATATACAAAAAGTTTGAATACCGCAGTATAACAGTTTCCAAACATTGTATTGATACGTTTTGAAAGCCAGCCATAATCTCATCTCGCCAAACCAGTGGTTGGTTCCGTAGCTTTTAGGTTTGATACACACTAATGGCTTCAGTGGTGTTGGTTAATTTTTCCGACAGGGAGGAAGATGATTTACACCCCTATTGCGAGTGTCGACTAGTAGTAGATAAACGACTCTTATTTGATTATCGCTTTTCCATGGTGTTGGTTAATTTTTCCGACAGGGAGGAAGATGATTTAGACCCCTATTGCGAGTGTCGACTAGTAGTAGATAAACGACTCTTATTCGGTTATCGCTTTTCCATGGTATTATGAATGTCGATTTCTCGTTCAATAAGCGACTGTGAATACTTTTTAAACTATTCACACTCACTTATTTAACGAGAAAACGACTTTGAAAATACCACGGATAATCCATAATCGCCTAACAGTTGCTTATCTACTACTAGTCGACAATCGCAAAAGGGGTGTTATTCTCGAAAACAAATATGTCACTGAAGATGGCACTGTGCCAAAACCGGTTTGTCTCCAAACCAAACTTGACGGGGATGACGGAATCTCATGCCATAATAAATGAAAATGTTACGAAACCTTGTGCTTGGCTTACGCCGCGCTCATATTCAGGGCTATCACGGAATCCATCGTATGAAATCTACGAAATCGAATGCCTGCTACGAATACGAAAAAATTGCTATCACTGAATCCGAGTGAGCTCGAAAATATCGTTGCCAGCTTCGAATTCGATTCGATTATAAATTTTATTTTTTAGCTTAGATTTTATTCTTTTAAAGGGAAAACTATTTTTTTAACTAGTTTTAATGATATTAAAGTAATAAGGATTCTCTCTTAATAAATTGTTGTTAAACTATTATTTCTTCATAAAAAATATTAAGTGTATTAAGAGAATATCCCTATTCATTGATTAAATAGCGTCTAGCAGATGAATGTATGTATGTACATTAGGGTGGTCAAGAAATGCATGTGAACAAGTAAAGTCGAAATTTTTATGCTCTCACCCCCTACGATTGTTCTATACCGAAAAAAATATACCCCAATTTTTTTATTTTGAAATCAAAAAATATTTAGAGGTCGCTCAAAGCGCCTAAAGTTTTCCATGTATTTTATATGGGGAAAAAACAACTTTTCGTAGAAATGGTATAAAATTCTTTAAAATCCATATTTTTCTATCGGAAAACTGTGTTTATCTGCAGTAGATTCCAATAATAATACCCAATTGTTTATTTAACCACTTTTTCATCGCAACTTTAATTTATAGGTTCGCCAAAAACTCCAAAAAATGCAATGCGGAGAGCAAAAAAAACGTTAGTATTCAAAAATGGTTAAATAAAAAATTGGGTATTATTACTGAAAGTCTCCTGAAGAGAACTAGAGTTTTCCGAACGAAAAATATTGATTTTCAAGTAATAATAATTATCCCAACGGTTGTTACCCTCCATTACCGCCCATCGGCACGAGGGGCGCAGTCCGCATGACGTACGGAACCAGTATTTTCAATTTTTGCGCCGAATCACGATAGGCAGGAGTTTGTTAAATGTCGAGATCTAAAACTGTTCAGCTACAGAACTAAATTCATCAGCTGATTTTATGTCTTTATTTTAATAATTCATTTATTGAGAGAGAAGAGTGCCGCATTCTTAATACTGAAAAGCGGATCTGATATATCAAACGTGCTGGAATGAGAGTTAAAATCCTGGCATAAGCAATGGAGTGGGTCGTGCAATTCAAAATTAGTTTTACAACCTTTCAGAAATAGGGGACAAAAGTGTCAATACCATTTCTATCAAAAATAGTTTTTTTTCACACATAAAAATACACGGAAAAGTTTGCGCGCTTTGAGCGATCTCCAAATATTTTTTGATTTCAAAATAAAAAAAATAGGAGCATACTTTTTTTCGATATAGAACAATTCTAGGGAGTGAGAGCATTACAATTCCGGCTTTACTGCTTTTGGACCACCCTAATGTACATATGTATGGCGTTGGTATTTTATGTCTACTTTTACACAAATATACGGAATTACATCAAACCATAACAAGTTTGGAGTATAATAAATATTTATTATTAACAATAATGCAGCTTTTTTCTATTATTTTTAAGATTCAGTGATTTTAAATTTTGTTCCGACATCATAAGCTCGTCGTAGAGTATCTGTACGAATCTTCATTACGAACGGATTCAATGAAGGTTCTCTACGAATTTCGAATTTACGTTAGTAGCCATTCGCCACTTTGGTATATTTTACGAAAATCGAAGCTACGATGGATTCTTTGATAGCCCTGATTACTTTATATAGTAAGTAGTCTTAAATTACGTAAGGCGCTTAACATCACAAAAAAAGAGCAGCAACGTTCGAAATGGATGGAATCTTTATTGAGTAAAGAAATCGAGCGGTAGTCAGGAAAAAATCTACAAATGTTAATAACACCATGCTATACAAAAAGTTACGAAATACACCCAAAACAAAACATTGTGCAGGTTGTATGTACGGTCGAGTACAACATGAAAATAGGTTTGTTATAGTTTCTGAACCCTCATGTCTGATATAAGTGGAGCCACCCACAGCCTTTTAACTGATGTTTGTTTGTTAAATAAATTCAAAGTTAGTATTTGTCGTTTCGAGTAACAAGCCCGCATACCGGGTCAAAAGATCGGAGAACTTCCAGGGTTAAACAAATGAGTGCAAAATTAAAAAAATAAGATTTTTTAGTATTCAATTAAAAATATCCTGGCCATGATTTTTTCAGCCACGTTAAATTTCATACAAAATAGATTTCATCCATTA